GACTAGCATGCTCAGAAGCCTGGGTCTGTGTAGCCTTCCGCCCCAGGGGCATCTCCAGGAAGTCACATGCTCATGTCTCCACAGAATCACTCCAGGGGAAATTCTGGGCAAGGGTGCTGCTGTGGTTGACACATCAGAAAAGACTCTTGTCTCCTAGACCAGGCTTTGGGTGAGTTGGGGAAAAATCTGAGGCCTGAAAAGTGCTTTCTTTGAGGACCTTGTCACAGAATGGCAGAGACTGCAGTATGGACAGTTCGTAGAAAAATGTAAAGGTCAGCAATGAGTGGTAGAGGGGAAGGAGATTGTGTGTTGAGCTCCGTTCACTCTTTTATCTGTAATTTGAATTTAATGGCAGAAATCTCCCCTGTGAATAAATGTTGATCTTCTCTTTTAGAACTAAACAGAACTTCAAAGCACAATGATCAGAGAACCTATATTTAAGCTTTAGTTTTGGGATCTGGTACAAGTTAATCAACTTCTCTGACCCTTGTTTTTCTAGTGCATTCATTAGCAATAATAATAGTACTTTTCCACTAAGGTTTTTGTATCTCTAAATGAGATAGGACATGTAAAGGGCTAAGAACGGAGCCTGGAACATGAACAAGCACTCAATAAATATTAGATTGTTTATTATTAAAGGACTAAAATAATTTTAAAATGTCTGCCCATTATTCCTTTTATTGTCTATCTAGGATAACACGCAAAGCTTGTGCTTTTTACATTGCTTGTGTTTTTTAAATACCAATAAAGAGTCTAGAATGATCACAATGCTCAGCAAGCATTAGTTTTTCATTTCCTTCTCCTTTTCATTAAAATAGAACTAACACTTCTAACTGTAGATGTGGGAAGTAAGTGGCAAGGGGAGATGTGATTCTACCAAAAACTAGTCAGTAAAACAACAGCCATATAGATCATTGTCCCCTTCCCCCACTCACCTCTGAGCACCTTCTTCTGAGTCCCAGCTCAAGGTCAATAGCAGATAGTTTCTTATCCTAGTGAGACTAGTCTATGGATCCCACGAGAAACAAGTCCAAAGGGCTAGCTTTTACTCAGCAGCTCAGATCGTTTAAGAATATAGTACGCTCATTCCTGTTCCTCAGAGAGCAGCCTTTCCATCTTCCTGCCTGCATGGAAGAGTATGGCAAGTGAAGTTCAATACTACATAGAAGGGAAGGACTCTCAATGTCCACTCCTTCTCCACCTTGACCCCCACATATACTTCTGAAGCCACAGAAGCTCCTGTCCTATTGCTGTGAGGAAAGTTTAGGTTCAACTCTTTCCATGGTCTACCACTATTATTTAGACAGAATTAAGCTAGTCAGCTGATGAGACAAGCTGGATATATGGACCCACCTCTAAAACATGCCTTCATTCAACCCCAGCTATACAGTACACTCATGTGTCTCATCTTGCTTTCCATATGTTCTTTGCTAACGGGTCTTGGACGGAAAAAGAAAAATGCTTCTTTTTGTCCTCTGATTACTCACGACGCATCTGGTACTTAGTAGAAACTTAACAAATTTCAAGTCACTTATCAATAAACTAATTAAACATGATCAACTTTTCCTTGGTTCATGAGATCTTAAGTAATCAGGGGCCTCATTTACTATCCTTGTCCCAAATTCTGGAAGGTCTGTGCTGGTCTCTGGGATTAGGGTGCTTAGATTGCCAATGTAGTATTTCTTTTGTGGCTGCTCATCACTCATAATCAATTTTCTTATTCTTTACTTTTTCTTACTGATTTTTACTACATGTGAATTCTACTAGTATATTGTCTTTTCATCTCTAGTTTATCTGAGGCTTGCTTTCACTAAATCCTTTACCGTAAGCATTAATGATAAGGTGCAAAGTCATTGAGACAGATCCACCAAATCCACTGTCTTGAACCCTGCAACAGCCACTGCCGGCAAGCCACTGGTATTAAATGTTGGCATAAACTGCCTGAGGGATAGAAAGATTTAGGTAACACAGACTTTGATCAACATATATAAATAGTATATATTAAAGTAGGTGCATAACTTTGGAATTATATAAATAGATTTCATGACAAATCTTTTGAGAGATAATTTTTATAGTCAAGCAAACATTACCAAGTTTATAGGTAATACATGGGCATTTATTATATCTGAACTTTATTGAGTCTTTATTATTTTCCTGGTGCTTATCTAAGTGCTCTATCAATATTCCAAATGCATACTCTTAACAACCCTATGGTAGGTACTATTACTTTTATTTTAAAGAAGTGAGGAATTAAGCACAGTGATTATTAAGTAACTTGTTAAAAGTCATAAAGCTAAGATTCAAACCCCAGAGCCTTTATTTTTAAAGCGATTTTTCTTTACAACTTCCCTAAACAGAGTCAAAGACAGAGAGATATAGGTAAAGAGAGACAGATATATAGGTAAAGAGAGACACTTATTATATAAGTGAAAGACCCTCAATCCAATCAGATCCATTATTTTTCAAGAGTCAGCAAGGATGTTGGTATCCTTTAAGTCTGCAGTCTGCAGCTCCAGTTGTTGAAGTTTCAAATAAAATTTTTTGCAACGATGAAAATATTCTACAACAGTTTTATCCAATTCAGTAGCCACTAGTCACATGTGGCTATTGAACATTTAAAATATGGTTAGTACAAGTAAGGTGAAATTGTAATTTAATTTAATCAATTTAAATTTAAATAGATGCATGTGTCTAGGGGCTACCATATTGGACAGTACTGCACTAAACTACTGACGGAGGAATTTGGAGTGACTTTTTTCTGTCTTGTTCATTCGCAAGTATCCAGAGCTCTCTGTCTTTTGTGTGTAGCTCTGGATTTTGTCTAGTGGCTTTGTTACTTTCTATGACCAAGGCTCCTATTTCATTTATTTAAAATAATTTCTTAAAGAGTTCTTAACCTGGGTCCATAGATGGTTTTCTAAAATATCTGAATTCACTTACTTTTTATGCAGAACTTTGCTTGTATATATGTGTGTGTGGTGTGTTGGGAGGAGTGTGTGTGTGTCTGTGTGTGTGTGTGTGTGTGTATATGCATTCTTAACTAGGAGACCCTTTCTGAGATTCTCAGAAAGGTTATGATAAATACAAATTTCAGAGCCACTATAGCACTACTCTTTCTTCTAGTCCTGAACCTTCTGTCAGCTGTGGCTAGACTGGCCTGAAAAGGTGATTAGTTCAGCTGCACATTTGGATATATGTTCTTAAGACGACACAAAAAAATTAAAATGGAAGAGAACAGATTGTGTGGCACCAAGATTTTAATCTGATCTTTTTCACTGCAAGTAGTAGACATTAATGTCTGTGATTCCCCACAGATTTAACTAGGCCTTACTTGGAGTTACAGTGAGAAATGTAGCTGCTGCTAACTCAAGATGACGTTTATTAGAATGGCCACATAGGAGTATGGAAGGAAGAGAATGGATCTTCTCTAAGGAGAAACAGGAAAAAACTTCTAGATGAGTTTTAACACCCAGGACACTGACTTCAGTAATCTGAACCATGTTTGAACCTGTCTTTTGGGAAATTCTCCATGGATGGATTTAATCTGGCTGAACCATAGAGTAGTTGTAAAACTCTTTGCAAGTACTGGAGATCATTCTGCTCCTTCATGAAGAGAAAAGTAAATCTCAAAATTCCTTTCTAGATGCACCTTAGGACAGAGAAATCTAATTGCATGGAAGAACATTCTGAAGAAAAAGGCCTGAATAAATGAGAATGACAATGGGAAGATTTTAGATATTTCTGAAAAGGGACTAAAGCAACTCTTATGTGGCTCCTGGGTATCTGTTTTCTATTGCTGCCATAAGAAGTTACTACAAACTTAGTGGCTTAAAATAATATATATTTATTTTTAACAGTTTGTTAGATCAGAAGTCCAAAATGGGTCTCACTGGGCTAAAACCAAGATTTAAGGCATTCTTTTCTGCAATATTTTCTGTAGACTTAGGGGAAAATTCTGTTCACTTACCTTTCCATCTTCTAAAGGCCACTAATATTCCTTGTCTTCTGGTTCCCTTCCTTCATCTTCAATGTCGATAATTCAGGTCCAGTCCTGCTCATGCTGCCATCTTTCTGGTTCTCTGCAGTTGACGAAGGTTATTCATTTCTAAGTACTACTGTGATGTGATTTGGCCTACCTGGACAATGTAGGATAAACTCTACATCTCAAGGTTCTTAATTTTTAACTACATATGGAAATTCCCTTTGGACATGCAAAGGAGCATGTCGATAGTTTTCAAGGATTCAGATGAGGACACCGTTGAGGGTATTATTCTTCCTACCACAGTAGGTCTTTTTTAAGTTCCTTGGGAGCCAAGGTGACTTCTTCCTCCCTCACTTGCTGCAGGCTCAGATCCCTTTAGTACTCACAGACTCTTAGGAATACAGAAGGTCAGAGCTTTAAATTCCTTAAAGTGTGTCTTTCCTCCTCCATCTCACATCACACAAGTGTCAAAGAGGGAAAGGATTGAGAAATTGAGTACCGAAGAGGGAAATGATCATATGAAAATCAAAACAATTTAAGATAGCAACTAAGATGCACACATATACATCCACATGTTTATATCTGCACATCTGTGTTTATGAATCGCCCTCATATTAGGATTGTGGTTATATTCTTCATGGTTATTGGTGTTAATGTTTATTATATATGTAAATACACAATGCCAAATTCTTCCCTAGTATTGCAGTCTGCAAGACAGGTAGCTTCTTGATATTTCTGAATTGCATATGTCCCTATTAGGTGCAGATGTTGACTGGAAGTTTTTTGTTTCTCTTTCTCCTAAATATTTTAAAATTTTGTGCTTAGTAGTAGCATTCTTGCTTCATGAAGCAGGGAATATTGGTTTCTGTATCAAACTGAACATGGGTGTGCACGAATAATATTTAAGTTACTTCCTCTTACAGCTACCATCTCAATACTTATTGTTACTGATTCCAGTTGAAGTCTATTTAACTTAATGAGCTCTTCTCTTTTTCCCTAGTCAAACCTCGATTCCATTATGTCACCACTCAGCCAAACTACTGAGAACCACCAGAACTTCTTCACACTGACTGGGATTCCAGGAATGCCAGAGAAAGACTTATGGATGGCCTTGCCCCTCTGTCTTCTTTACAGCACCACGATCTTGGGAAATGTCACCATCCTTGTTGTTCTCAAAGTTGAGCAAAGTCTCCATGAGCCCATGTATTATTTTCTAGCCATGTTAGCTGCCACTGACCTCAGCCTTTCACTGTCTTCCATGCCTACCATGGTCAGTGTTCACTGGTTCAACTGGCATTCAATAACTTTTAGTGGCTGCCTTATTCAGATGTTCTTCATCGACACATTTAGGGGAGTAGAATCAGGTGTTCTCGTGGCCATGGCCTTTGATCGCTTTGTGGCCATCGGCTTTCCTTTGCACTATGCTACCATTCTCACTCACAGTGTCATCAGCAAGATTGCAGCAGCAGTCCTGCTACGGAGTGTGGGGACTGTGCTCCCCGTGCCTTTGCTCATCAAAAGGTTACCTTTCTGTCACTCCAGTGTCCTCTCCCATGCAACCGCCTCCATCAGGATGCCATGAGGCTTGCCTGTGCTGACACCAGTGTCAATAGCATCTATGGCCTGCTGGCTGTGATCTTCATCATTGTACTAGATGCCTTGATACTTTTGGCCTCTTACATTCTAATCCTCCAGGCAGTATTGAACATTGCTTCCCAGGAAGAGAGGCTCAAGGCTCTCAACACTTGCCTCTCTCACATCTGTGCAGCGCTGACTTTCTGTGTGCCTCTGATTGGTATGACCCTAATTCATCGCTATGGGAAGCATTTGTCACCACCAATACACACATTCATGGCCAATATCTACCTGCTTCTCCCTCCTGTGCTCAATCCCATTGTGTACAGTGTTACGACCAAGCAGATCTGATGGTGGATTGTCCAGGCCTTTTGTGGGGCTAGGGTTAGCCCTTAATGGCATCTACTATTTCCATGTAAATGCAATCAAGTTAGAGAACCGTATCAAACACAGCACTATCCAATAGAAATTCCCGCAGAAGTGGATATTTTCTATTTCTCTGCTGTTTAGTAACTAGTAGCCGTACATGGCTATTAATTGCTTGAAATTTTGCTAGTGCAAGCGGAGGAACTGAATTTTAAATGTACTTAATTTTAGTTGATTTAAGTGTAACTTTAAGTTGTAATATGTAACTAGTAGCTGCTGTATTGAACAGTACAAATATAATGGGTTGTGAAATGAAATTGCATAATGGTTTTGATGAGAGCACTAATTTATTTTAGCTTGATAAGACATAAGCTTTTATACTTTAAAATTGTATATAAGAAATTTTCAAACATTTATGTACGATAAAATTTACTCACTTTGGCATATCATTTTACAAGTTTTGACAAATGCATTGTGTTACCACCACTGAAACAAAGGTACAGAACAATTTTATCACTTCCCCAGATTTCTTTATGCTGCCCATTTGTGGTCAACCACTGTATTGTCACCCACCAGAGGGCAAGCATTGACTGGCAAGCATTGATATAATGACTCCCTATAATGATTCTTTTTCCAGAGTGTCATGCAAATGAAACCTTGTATTATAGTCTTTTGTGTCTAGCTTCTTAATAAAATGCTTTTGAGATTCACCCATGTTATTGCATGTATTGGTAGTTTATTCCTGTTTATTGCTGAATAGTTTTCTGTTGTATGTCATTTTTTAATAACTTTTTTTGAGAAATCTGTCCAGACTGCTCTTACTCCACTAGAATCACTCTGGTATTCAGTGATGAACATAGAACATTTATTTTCTTTTGCCTTTATTTGTTATTTATTTATCTATTTTATAACATAAGGTGTACATATTTAAGGGGTTGGAATCAGAAAAGAAAAAATATTAAAAATAAATAGCATGTGCAGAGTTTGAGAAAATGGTGCATTCAGTGAGTTGGAAAAATAAGAAATTTCACATAAGCTTTAGAACTCAAACTCAGCCTCACTTCTGTTCAGAGGGCTTTTCTGACTTGTGCTTAATATATACTCCATATGAACAGGGTCTCTTTTATCCCACTTCATCACAATCGAAGTGTGTAATGTAGTTTAGACCATATGGTGGACACTTAATATATATTTTTGAATTAATGAATTAATGAGAACTATATTAAGATTGATGAAATACTTTCTATTCTTTCTGTTCTCATTTAATATTCATAAATCTTATCTGAAAATTTCATAGTCACTCATCTTCACTAATAGGAACCAGGAAAAGGGGGTGGTGTTTACTTATGCATCTGAGCATTACCTGATGTGTAACTTTATAAAGTTGCTTGATCTTCCTTGATACTGAGATAAGCATCTTTACTCAGTGTGACTCATACATATATAGTGAGAATATATTTGGAAAATGTTTCAAGAAGTACAAAAAGGGCTGGGCATGGCCGCTCATGCCTGTAATCCCAGCACTTTGGGAAGCCAAGGTGGGCGGATCATGTGGTTAGGAGTCTGAGACCAGCCTGGCCAACATGGTGAAACCCTGTCTTTAGTAAAAATACAAAAATTAGCCAGATGTGGTGGCAGGTGCCTACAATCCCTGCTGAGGCAGGAGAATTGCTTGAACTCAGGAGGTGGAGATCGCGCCACTGCACTCAGTCTGGGTGGCAGAGCGAGACTCTGTCTCAAGGTGGGGGAAAGTATAAAAAGCCAGGGTAGATTAGATATAATCAGGATTATTAATTGACTGTCTACTGTGAATAGTTGCATTCCAGACTAAACTAAGCTTAAACCATATGTGGGCACACAGTTGGAAATCAATCTATGAAACTGACAGATTAAGGACGATGAATTTAAACCATAGTTCCTGAAGATCCGAATGGAAACAGTTGACATTAGAAGGTAGTCTAGCATGATGGTTAAGGTGAAAAGCTTTGAAATAAGACTTATTTCAAAATTTTGAGTACCATTTCTGAAATAGGCTTGAGTACCATTTCTGCAACTTGCTAACTTTTAGACAGCAAAGTTATTAAAAAATCTTTCTGAGCTTCAATTTCCTCAGCTGTGAAATAATAAATAATAATACTTAACTCATAAGGTTGATTAAGACAATGCATTTGAAAGATATAGTTTCTGGAACATATTATGTGTTCATCAAATGTTAGGTTACTTATGCGTAGAAGGTAGATGGCTCCAGATATGACTTGAATGGGAAGGGTTCTTAGGAGGAGTTCCTGTGTAAGAGGAGGGATGTATGAACGGCCAGGAGAGTAATGAGACCTCTTAGGAAGAGGATATATTGAAAACAGAGAACAATGGGATGACTCTTTCTGCTCTCGTAATCCAGCTCTGACATTCAGAGAGCCTTCCTGGCTGAGAGTCGTTAGCCTAAGGCTGAGTGAAGAGGAATGGTTATAGTTATTTGACCCAGGCAGGCAGTTTTTGCAGATATCCATTACTGTCAGCCTCCAGGGCTAGGGCTCTTCTCCCAGCCCCTGATGGATGGGGTTTGCTTGGGCCTGGGAGCAGGGTTTGAAGGTAAGTCTTGGAGATATGTCTGAGTTGCAGATGGGTTCCATCACTCTTACTCGAACCAGAATGCTTACTAATCAAGAATGCTCCCTGTTGCCTGGGGACTCTACTAGGCTGCCTATAAAGCCCTCACTTTTGGAAGCTGTTTTAGTCCCTGATCTGTTATGGGACTGAAGAGAAGTTGGTGGTGTTTCCTGCTGAAGTGACCAGGTAAGGCGGGAGTGCAAATATGGGGGAAAAAAACTGAAGGGGAGGGAGTTTTTTAAAAATGAGAGATGGTAAGATAAGGAGAGGAAGAAGATAAAGCAATAAATTGATGGGAACTACAAGTAAGATGGGATGAATAAAGAGAGGGGTATAACAGATACTGGAAGAAATTGAGATAGGGAAAGAGAAGACAGGAGAAGAAAGAAGAGACAAAGGCAAAAGATGATAGAACTCAAAAACTCCCTTTCTGTGGCCATAATTGTTTGGTAAACAGTCAATGATGGTAAATGAAACTTTCTGTTTTTCCTGATCCTGCTTTAGTAACTGGCATTGAGAGATTAAAAACATGCTTGCCCAAACTTTCAAGAAACTCAAACTTCTGGCAGAATAAGAACATGGTACTCACATATATAAATTACCAATATCAGCTGTGCCTCATTATTAAGCACCAAGTGAAAGGTCCAAGCAAAATGTGGGGCAAAGATTGAAGCAGAGGGTAGTTTTAGCTTAATATGTCATGGAACTTTCAGGGTATATTCTGAATTGTGGAGGAAATATAATTCAGTGTTAACAAATTAACAGAAGGTAGGGGTTGGTAAATGATGAGGATGGGTCTGTAACATTACGGATGCCAGAAAACAGGGATGGTGATCTTTGGGTCACTCCGTTATTGAGTTGAGTGAGTGTTATTCAAACAATTTCACCTGGTCTTCTGTATATGAATGGGCAGATGCTACCTTCTTCCTGGCCAGTCAGATGGAGACTTGTACCTGAAGAGAGAAAGCACTTACATATTGCTCTGGTTAGCTGGCAATGTTGAGAAAACCTTGATAAACTTAGGAACTGAACTTTGACCTGCCACTGGCTCCAGAGTGTATGACCTCACAGAGAGAAAGCCCTCTGCTGCTTCTTCTGTCTCCATTCCACAGGGAAAATTTCCCCAGCAGCAAACGGAGCCACTGTCTCCTCTCCTCTTGCCCCCTTTGCGTTATCCAGTGTCATTTCTTCTTTGCCTTTATGAGATACCATTCAAAGAACAGAGGACAACTGACATCTGCTTTATAAGCATCTCATCGCTTAGTTACTTTTGCACCCCCAAATGCCCCTTGCATTCATCAGCACATGAAGACAAAAACAATACAAACATATGTAGACTTTTATACATAATTTTAAAAACACTTGGACTCCACAAACATTTTTCTTTAGATGAGTCATGAGAACATAGTTCTCTATTTTGCTTATTTCTCATCTCCATCCCTCCTATACATCATATACAAATATAAGAGGATATTAAAAGTTTTTGTATTTTAAAAGAAGGAAATTACAACATTCAGCTCTCCAAATTGTCTCATTAGCCTGGCCTTTCTGATCATCAGAAGTTTAGTAAAAAATAACAGACTTTGGAGTTAGCAAATTTGGTTTTGAATTTGAATCTGTATTTTAACTATTTTAGTCTAGACATACTATGTAACCCTCCTGGGTCCATTTCCTGTCTTTAAAACAGAAGAGAAATAACTACCTTAAATTTACAATTGTACGTAAAATGACTAATTAAATGTATGATATATATAAAGAATCTTAATTATTTTTCTTTCCTCATAGTTCAGTGTCTTCAACCAACCATGGCAATATTCAATAACACCACTTCGTCTTCCTCAACTTTCCTCCTCACTGCATTCCCTGGGCTGGAACGTGCTCATGTCTGGATCTCCATTCCAGTATGCTGTCTCTACACCATTGCCCTCTTGGGAAACAGTATGATTTTTCTTGTCATCATTACTAAGCGGAGACTCCACAAGCCCATGTATTATTTCCTCTCCATGCTGGCAGCTGTTGATCTATGCCTGACCATTACGACCCTTCCCACTGTGCTTGGTGTTCTCTGGTTTCATGCACGGGAGATCAGCTTTAAAGCTTGCTTCATTCAAATGTTCTTTGTGCATGCCTTCTCCTTGCTGGAGTCCTCGGTGCTGGTAACCATGGCCTTTGACCGCTTCGTGGCTATCTGTAACCCACTGAACTATGCTGCTACCCTCACGGACAGGATGATCCTGGTGATAGGGCTGGTCATCTGCATTAGACCAGTAATTTTCTTACTTCCCGTTGTTGTAGCCATAAACACTGCATCTTTTCATGGGGGTCATGAGCTTTCCCATCCATTTTGCTACCACCCAGAAGTGATCAAATACACCTATTCCAAACCTTGGATCAGCAGTTTTTGGGGATTGTTTCTTCAGCTATACCTGAACGGCACTGACGTATTGTTTATTCTTTTCTCCTATGTCCTGATCCTCCGTACTGTTCTGAGCATTGTGGCCCGAAAGAAGCAACAAAAAGCTCTTAGCACTTGTGTCTGTCACATCTGTGCGGTCACTGTTTTCTATGTGCCAATGATCAGCCTCTCTTTGGCACACCGCCTCTTCCATTCTACCCCAAGGGTGCTCTGTAGCACTTTGGCCAATATTTATCTGCTCTTACCACCTGTGCTGAACCCTATCATTTACAGCTTGAAGACCAAGACAATCCGCCAGGCTATGTTCCAGCTGCTCCAATCCAAGGGTTCATGGGGTCCTAATGTGAGGGGTCTTAGAGGAAGATGGGATTGAAGGTAGGAAATTGTCAGGACTTGAATTATGCTTAGGAAAGAAAGGGACTTGGGGCAGTCTTATCCATAGGCATTCTGGTTGCTGAGTCAATTCCAATTGAATTTTAGGAGTGGGAAGAAGACAGTAGTTTTCCCCTGTGCTTATCAAAGAGTTTGATTTTTTAATACCATAATTTAAAACCAAATTAATTGAGTATATGTCCCTGAACCATTTTAAACAATGGCATGACTCATGTGCATATAAAAGCAAAATAAAGTCACTTTAATATAGTGGAACAATTTAATTATCTCCTTTAAAACAATAGTTTTTAGAACAGAAATAAATTACAATTTTATTTTCACATCCAGCTGAACAATTTTTTTTTTTCCCTGAGGTGACAGTTCCAGTGAGGCAATAAATGTTGTTACCTGAGCTGGTAAAAGGAGAAGTTACATATGCTCACAAAGACACAGATGTAGAAAGTTACAATTAAAAACTTTAGGAAAATCTTACACATCGGTTTCAGTTCCTGGTGTCACTTCTAGAGAGCGCTGTATCCTTACAAATATACTCTCTATACCTCTATCTTTCTTTAATCCCTCTTCCTCTTAGTAGAAGTGATACTTTTCAATTTTAGTTAGTACTTTGTATACCTCCAATCCATCCAATATATAAAATTACACATTGACTTTCATTATTTTCTCATTGCCTATATATTCTAATATAGTTCTAATCCTGAGTCCACAGTTACTCCGCTGCTGACTGTTAGAGCTGCAGCTTTTTTCTATTTACTCTTGTTTCTTGGGTTGTTAATTGTCTACCTAGCTATTAACTGCTGTACCCTCTGGTATACTCATCACTCTAGAATTGCACAGTAGCTTTGATGCTTTTTAATAGGGAATTTCTAGATTGCCTTTATTGATAACATTTGTTTTGTGAAGAAGTAAACTCAGGTGCAGAGTTGTTAAGGAGCTGGAGATAATTCTTCAATTTTTTTTTCTACAGTTTTGACAATTTCATCCGACCTAGGATAACTCACGTCTTAGCATTGTGAACCAAGCAGGTACACTGATTTGAGCCACCTGTCTCCTCCCCTTATATCACCTTCCTATTTCTTGGCAGATAGGGAACACCAGCCCCAGTCTGGTTTCTTGACCTCAGTTTTCTTTCAAGCTACGTTGTTCAGCTCAAGCACTGACAACTTTGTGATTTTGCTTTGCTTGGGCTCCAATTCCCTTTACCAACAATAATCACATGTCATTTATAATTAAAATTATTTACATGAGTTTCCTTTTATGCATTATATTCAGATAATTGAGATTACATAAAAGCGTGTGGCAGGACTCGCACATTTTTTAGGTGAGGAAAAACAAGTGAATGACCATCCTATAAAGTAATGCAATTATAAATAAAATTCAGTTTTTCAAACTCCAAGTCCCTTATTGTAGCTAAAATGTTTCTTGGCCTTGTGCACTCAGAGGGAAGTCTTTGTATTCTATTATACCACAATTCAGTATTTTACCTTTCATGTTTTTGTTCTCACGTTGTTGCCAAATAAATCTCTTTGGTTCTGTCCTCATCAAAACGAAAAAAATACAACTATTATTCAAAAGTGCAAGAACCCAAAGATATATCTAGTTTCTAGACATCTGATGCCATACAATTTCCCTCAGAGAGTATCATACTATGGCAGAGTCTCTGACCCTGAAATTGACTTGTGGCAGAGAAGACGTCCCAGGACACACATTAATCTAACCATCCGAACTTTTCCGCGTCAGTTATTTCAGATGTCTCTGGCTTTACAATTGCTTCTTTTGAAGACTTTTCTAAAAGTTTACCCTGGTAGACCAATAATTTTCTATTCGCAATGGAGAAGTTTCCAAACATCTGGAAAAACAATAATTTTTTTTCTTTCTTATGTTTGGTTTCAATATTTATTGGCTAAAAAACCTAACAGGAACTTGTGTGAACATATTTTTTGGACCATAATTTATTTATTTCACACTTTTCACTTCAGAAATATTGCTATGTTTGAATACAGGGTAATACCTCAAGTGATATGTGGCTCTTTTAAAGTATACAAAATAATTGAATTCCAGAGGTTTTTAGATGAACAATTGTGAAAATGTGTGATTTTCTTCCAGTTTTATGACAGTCATAAAATAGTCTGCTATATGTGTGTTAATCTTCTATTACTCAAAAATGTAGTTTTTATACCTGACTAAAAATGCAACCTTTTCACTCAACACCAAAAAAATTTCATCAATGTACTCCATCCCTATGGTAATTGTCAATAGGCTATGAATTTGTGTTTTGTTATTTTAAGCAATGTATTTTATATATTTGGAGTTTTTCTGATTATGAGTGTCATATATATAATTAAAATGTGTGAATGTATTGATAAATAGAAAAAAATATTTAAAATCTAATAACAATTATTTGCAATCCTACGGAGAAATTATATAATATAGTCATGTGCCCTGTAATGACCTTTCAGTCAACAGTGGGCCTCATATGCCACAGCAGTTCCATAAGATTATAATACCAGTATTTTTGCTGTACCTTGTCTATGTTTAAACAAACACAAATACTTACCATTGTGTTACAGTTACCTCAGTATTTAGTAAAGTAAAATGCTGCACAGTTTTGTAGTCTAGGAGCAATAGGCTATTTCACAGGTAGGTAGTAGGCTATACCCTCTAGGTTTATGTAAATACACTATGTGATAGTCACACAATGATGCATTTCTCAGAAAAAAAAAAAACCCTTATTAAGTGACTCATGACTGTATATAACCTAATCTTTTTTTAATAAACAAACACATGGGCATACATATGAAGATAATGGTTTACATACAAATGTATGTCTTAAATATTTACTTGCTATTATTCATTATTCTCTATTAAATTATATTTTGTATTAGATTTTACTTCTAGGAAGCTTTGCTTTCATTATCCATCAAAATAGGCCTGTTGCCATTCTTTTACATATGCTTCCTTAGGTGTATGATTAAAATTACCATATTTTGCTAATTTAATTACTTATTTACTTGTTTTCTTCACCACCTGAACTCCATGATAGTACGCCTGTGTCTTATGTTTAACTTAATCTTTAACAACCAATACAGGGTTTAGCAAACACCACTTAATTGTTGATGCTGTGTTGCATTGGTGAATAACATGTCATCATCTTTGTATGTGATGGTTTTTGCTACTATTTCCTATTACTTAACACTTCAGTGACCCTGATATATTTTCTTATAAATATATATTGATTCTATCTCTGATTATCTTTATTGATTTCCAGAAATATAAATTATTAAATTTAGAAGGAGGCAAAATAACTGTTGGTCTCCTTTTGTTGGCCAACTGT